CACACACACACACACACACACACACACACACACACACACACACACACACTTGTGGCTCGCATGCAGGCCACAGCGTGGGAGGAAAACGGGCTTCGGAGACCACCCTCCTCCTCCTTCCTTGTTCATTTTGTCAACATGAGGGGTGGGGTGGGGTGCATAGGCCACTCCCAGAATGCAGGCCTCTGGGTCACCTACAATGGCTGTGCTGGGTGTGAGTACTACGCCAGCTGCCCAGGCCGGCACCTGGGCCCACTAAGTCTAGCTACTGGGACCACTGACGCAGCTGCTTGGACGCTGACAGTGCAGGCAGGCCCAGGAAGCCTCTGGAACAAAGAGTAGAGTGGCCCCTGGCTGGGGGGTCACTGGTGTCCTGGTGGAAGACCCTGTCCTCTAAGCTGGGGCTTCTCTTCCTGGCACGGGACGAGACGGTCACTTCTAGTGGGAACACCACAGCAGGTGTCTTGGGCCCTCTGAAGATGGCTGAAACGCTCTGTCCACAGCCCTGGCTCAGCCCCAATGCCCGTGGAAGGGTCTGGAAGACCGGGGCAGGGGCGTTTAAGTTGAGAAAGGGGCCAGACCAGGTGGCTAAACTGGCCCAGGTCAGCCTGCAGGCCTCAGGCTGCCTCAAGACGCCCACACTTCTGACAGGAGCCCAGAGGTGGCCCTTCTCGTCCTTGGCCCATGAGGAGGGCAGGCCAGGGAGGCAGACAGACAGCTGCCGGGGCCAGCTCTTCCTCACCTCCGGTCTCCCGCCTAGCGTCCACCCCTGCTCTGCTGTAGCCCAGTCAGCGCCCAGGGGTGCAGTGTGTAAACAGATGCATGCACACGCACCAGGCACACCGCCCCTGCTCGGGCGCACACGCGCACACGCACACATGTCCTCGTGGTCTGTCGTGCCGGCTCGTCCGCGGGCTGTGCTCTGCTGCCAGGGGTGCTGCCTGGCACCCAGGCTCGGCTCAGGGAGCAGCGGGCCTGCAGCTGGAAGAGAAACACAGGCAGAGAGCAAGAGTCAGTGAGGCTCCCCCTCCTGGGAACACCGCCCCTCCTCTGGGGACACTCAGCCCGGAAGCTGGGCACAGGGCTGCTGCTGGGTGCCATTGGGCTGCCCGGATTGTGCCCCCGTGGCTCACAAAGGAGCTGTGGAGGAAGAACAGGCCCCAAGTCCTGAGTCTACCCTTCGGAGCTTAGGCTGTGAGCGTGCGTTGCTTCCTTCTGCCCCTGCTCTGGAGAGCCCGGTGCCCAGAAGCCTGAGGATAGCATTCGGATGCTCAGGAAAGCCCAGCTGCCCCTGCATGGATTTTGCCTTGGGCCGCAGAAGTGGCCCCAGAGGCTTTCAACGGACGACTCCTTCAGGAGCTCTGGGTGTACTTTGGAGCGCTCGATGCTTCTCCCCCGTCATGGCGGGGGGTGGGGGGACTGCACAAAGACATTCAAGGGCTTCCAGAAAAGCAGCTTTTACTCCAGCATGCGTTGGGGCGAGCTGATGGAGGGAGGGGATGTGGCGAACACTGGCCTGAACCCTGTGTGTCAACGGCTTCACTCAACAGATCACTGTGTTCCAGTCGAAGGACAAGTGAGTGGATCATGTGAGCTGTTCTGTGCTCAAATAATTGGTCCAACGAGAAGACTGTCAGCGATTCAAGGCTAATGGAATCCTGAGCAGTCAGCAGCTCTGGGGATTCTGGGAACCAGCTGGAACAATAGCCCTTGGGGGCGGCTGGCTTGTTTTTCAGTTTCGTGCATCTTGTGATGATGCTTCACTGAAGGCAGATGAGGCGCTGCATGGATGAGTAATGGAACCACTGAGCTCAAGCCACGTTTTGCCTCAGGATCTGTTTGCTCTGTGAACGTTAAGTGGCCTGTGGAGAGCGTGGGGCAGAGGCGTTAGAATCAGCTCCGACTCACAGGACAGGCAGCAGAGAAGCAACCTCACAGGGGGCCGGGAGGAAGCCCTCGCCGGGGGTGAACTCCTGTCTGTACGTCACACTGAGCAGAGTGGAGGGCCAGGCCCCTGCCTCTCGGGATGATCCTCATCTGCCTGGGACAGGCGGCCCCTCGCTCTGTGGTCCTGGCTCGGATGGAAGGCCTGGGGGTGACCCCAACAGGGCTGCCTGGGGAGCTCATGCTCTCTGGCCAGGACTGCACCAGTCTGAGACTTCCCACATACACTGTTCGGTGTCTCACCCCCGCGCAGGGTTGCTGGCGGGACACGGGCCAAGACGCTACTGTTGCTTTTCAGTGAGGCTGCTACACACCTGGAGGTCCAGATGCCGCTGGCCGCACTCCTTCCCCTCAGGGTTTCTGAAGGCCACGAGAGTTGCCCTAGCCTGCTGGGAGGAAGCCCAGCCCTGGCAGCTCCGGGGCCACACTGCCACTGGAGGACAGGGCAGAACTGCCCACATGGCCTCCAAGACGAAGCTCCCTGCCACATCTTTTTCTCTCCCACGGAGCGGCTAGTGGGTTCAAACCATGGACCTTTTGGTTAGCAGCCAAGTGCTTCACCACTGTGCCCCCAGGTGCCCCCAGGGCTCCAAGCAAAGTCGTGACAGAGATGAACCACATGGGCTGTTCAGACACGCGTCGGTGAAGGCGACAGCCTGCAAAGCCTGTGGGCAGTGCCGCTCTGCTCTGCCAGTTGGAATCGACCTGCAGGAAGCCCCTGAGGAGGCGCCCTGAGCTCCCATATGCTGATCGACACTTTTTGGGCAGCTCAGCAGCCCCCAATCTGTATTACTTGGGAGTCACTGCCACGCCCTCAGCCCAGCCAGCGGGCCCTCTGCACCCTCCGGGGGCCCAGTCCAAGGCCTCCTGCTGCTTCCCAAATACCAGTTCCCTCACCCCCTCCTAGGCCCCACACACAGTACTCCTGAGCTCCCACTGGGGTCACCATTGGCTCCCCTGCCTGGCATTCAAGGCCCTCTCTGAGGAGACCCAACTGTAATCCATCTTAGGTTCTTCTCAGAGAAGAATGACATCAATGCCCACAATTCTCAGCGCTGCCAAGGCCCACCTGGCACTATCTGCAGGCACTTCCAGCTGTCCACCAGGACTCACGCTTCGTGACCACCCCGGCAGGATTGGTTCGTTGGGGGGCCCTCTGGCCTGGCCCAGATGATGGGTTGTGACTTTCAGTGTGTGACCCCTGGAGGGGCAGCACTTGTCCGAAATACACATTCTGGGCCCCCACCTACTAAATCAGACAGGTGGGAAGCACAGGGCTAAGGCAATCCTAACCACCCAACCCCCACTTCCTACTTGGGGGTGGGCTTGCCACTCAGCACTGGCTCAGGAAATCTGAACCGGGGTAGGGTGGGTGTTCTGGGAAAGCTTTTGATTTCTTCAGAAAGGGTGTGACAGTTAATATTAGCGTCAACTTGGCCAGGCTGTGATCTTCAGTGGCTTGCTTGGTCGACATGGGATCGACTGCTCTTCCACAATGGAACAAAACGTAAGCATCTTCCATGTGCCACCAAGCAGCTGAGAGCCACCGTTTCTTGATGGAGATGAGGCTTGCATCCAGTATCCACGGAAGGTCTGGCCAAGCTTGGCCCGCTCACTCTCAACCCTGCAGCCAATTTGTCAGCCTCTGGCCATCAGCTCTCGGGATGTGAACCAACACCTACTAACCTGGGCTTCCTCAGCCCTCTCAACCACGTGAATCAGAAATCTCTAGACCGACACTTGACTGGGATTGGCCAGCCTCCACAGCGGGTCAGCCTAAGATAGAAGGGAGCAAGGCTGTCCGCCAGCCCACCCTCAGCCCCAAGCTTTGCGGTCGGCCTTCTTATGCACTTTATTTTCTCATTTCTCTATTGCAAGTGCAGCCTCTTGACTACGTTTCCTCCTTCGAAGATGCGCCCCAGAGGGAAGGGACTCTCAGCCCTGCTCACCTCCCTGATCGGTGTCTCCTGAGCGGAAGAGTAGAGCTGACGGGGCTCTGCCTTCTCCTTCCTGCACTGCAGACGGAATCGATGGCCAGAGCTCTGGCAGCCGACCCGCGACCGACCGTGAGGAAACAGTCAAGGCCAAAGGATGCTCAGAGAAAGGGGCTCTGGCACCGCTGAGTTCCAAAGCCAAACCAGCAGCACCCACCCAGGGCTTCTTGTCAAAAGCCCGTTGCCGTCGCACCGATTCTGACTCAGAGACCCTCGTCAGGGCTTCCACGGAGCAGACAGCCTCCGAGTGTCTGGGGGTGGGGGGCTGATCTGCCGACCTGGGGTCAGCGCCCATGCCTGGCTCTCAGGGCCACCAGAACTCTCTGGACATCTCATCGCTGAAAGCCCCCCAGAAGTGTCCGTCACTTAACTTTGCCCATCCCTTCTGCTGACGGTAAGGAAATGCCTCATCTACAAAGAGGAAGCGCCTTCGTGGAGTTCTAACTGCGACACAGGTAACTGCTTGTGCTGGTCTGAAATGCCTCCCAGTCCCACTACCTAAACCCCAGTGCAGGCCGGGGAGCCCTACCGAGTTTGCCAGCCTCTGGGACACAGGTTCCCAAACGTATTTGGCCTATCAGAAAATAAATAATAAATAAGTAAATAGAAATTAGTCAGTGTCTCCTGCCCCCCACAATTAGACACTTCTGTACTATAGTCCCTAAACCCAGGATACAGTATAGGCACCCGCCTGCTGCCCCCGCCCGTCTGAGAGACGCTGCGCTGGCGCTGGCGGGGTAGTGATCCTGGTTCCCGTGACTGTACCCTCATCCATTTCTGTGTCTCACACATCTCTGCCCCTGCGAACTGGCTGGCCTTACATTTCACTAGTTGCCTTACATTCTACTAGTTTACGGAGCCACCTTAACCCCAACATGCAACTCTGTTTACTGGCCTTCCCACCTGTCAATCAGAGCCTCAGCCAGCCGGCCCCAAAGTACAGTACAGAAGGAGCCTGGCTCAGTCTCACCGCGTCCACCCGACACTCACCCTGATCTTACTGAGCTCGCTGACTGGTTCCAAGAGCTGGCTCCAGAGGGAGAGAGCCTCGGGAAAGAGAGGCCCCAGTCTAATGCTGCAGCTGAGAGGATACATGGAGGGGCAGTGAGGTTCATTTTGCCACAATGCCTCAGAGCCCTTTACTCCATTTCAGGTGGCTCTCGAGAAAGCTGGGAGCTGAGAGCAGCCCAGGCTGAGGCCCCATGGGGGTGAGGACAACCTAGGAGTGTCTGCAAAGGGCCAAGGCCAGTGGGGAGGGGCCTGGTCTGATGGCTGGGCTGAGAGCTGGAGGATAGGTGCTGCCCTCCCCTGGTCAGCCTGCAGAACACAGGAGAGTGGACACAATGTTCCAGGGCCATTCCTCTCAGGAGCTCCACATCCGGGTCTCTGGATCTTTGGGCTGCATTTGATTCCCGTGGAAAGGCAGAAAGAGGCAAGGGGGGAATCATCTGGGTCTCAGTCAATTAGCAAAGGAAGATAACGTAACGGAGGGCCTGCTTTCTCCCAGAGGACGCAGAAGTCAGAAGGGTGGGGCTTCAGAGCAGGGACACCGTGCCACATGCCCTCCACCACAGGCTTTCGTCTGGTTGTGTGTCTGAACCTTCAGGGATGCTCCCTGGGTGGCGTCAGAGGCTAGGCACTCAGCTACCGGTCAAAAGGTCGACGATTCGGAAGAGGTGCCTCCAAAGACAAGCCTGGCAACCCATGTGCAGAGGTCATAGCCCTGAGACCCGGGGCAGTTCTGCTTGGCACAAGTGGGGGGGGGGGGGGGGCACTGTTGAGTCGAAATAAGCTGACTGCCAGCAGCTTTGAGGCTGGGAGAGAGGTGGTCCCATCCCATCCCATCCCCACCTGTCCCCAGCTCAGCGTCTCGGGCACTTACCCTCAGACGGCCTTGCCTGGTGGCTCTGGCCGGGGTGCCTTGGCCACGCGGGCCCGTTTGCTTAGGTCCTCACCAGGAGGTGCCTTGGCTGCTTCCAGCTTGCGTTTGGGGGAAGTGGGGCGGCTAGTGGGCAGCCGTGGGCCTGCAGGGAAGCGTGTCAGAGCGTCAAACACTGTTATCAGGAAAGAGGACCCACGCTGCGCAGGAGCAGTGTGACCGGCAGAAGGGGCCGGCTAGTCGACAGGACACCACTGGGCCCACTGCCACCCTTCAGCAGGGACCTTCAATCGATGACTACGCCTAGTGACCCAATAGAACAGGGTAGAACTGCCCCTGTGGGTTTCTGAGACTGTACGTCTTTATGGGAGTAGAAAGCCTCCTCTTTCTCTTGAGAAACAGGGGGTGGTTTCTAACCGCTGACCTTGTGGTTTGCAGTCAGTTCTGGCTCACAGTGACCCGACAGAGGGTCTCTGAAGCCGTACATTTTTGGGGAACAGACAGCCCATCCTTCTCCGGAGCAGGGGCTACTGAGTCTGAACTACCCACCTGCAGTTCATAGCCTAACACCTACCCGCAGCGACAGCAGAGCTCCTTGACCTGACCCAGAGGGGCCTGCACGGAGAAGGCCCAGCCTGCACGCGCCAATCCCAGGGACCCAAGGCTGATGTGGACGTCTGCTGTCCTCGCTCTGAGGTGAAGGACTCCCTCTGCAGCCCAGAGCCGCCTGGCAGGGCAGGGGAAGCCTGGGAGTCCTGGCTGTCTCTCATTACCCATCTTCCTCCCGAGTGGAGGGAGGAGGTTCCCCAGCCGAAAGTCTACCTTCCTATCTACCTAGCCTATCACTGTTCTGGCCCAGCCCCCAGGCCTCACCTCCTGCGAGCTTCCCCAGGCCATTCTTTGCCACTCCGTGCCCTCCTCACTGGGCAGCAGAGGATGCTTTTGAAGATACGCGTCTGCTTCTGCTCCAGCCTCCTGTAAGCCAAGGTCATCCCTGCCTCCCTGGTCCCACTCATGTTCATTTCTCCCACAGCACGCGGTATGATGGCGTTTTCCTGGGGCCGTGAACTGTCGGTCTCCCCCGGGAGAGCCTAAGCTCCATCTGGGACAGGACTTGTCTGGCTCCTCTCCCAGTCCTGAGTGACGGAGGCACCCTGTGCTCTGGGAGGGGCACCCTCACCTGTGCTGCTCATGCTCAAAGCCTGGCTCACGCTGGGCTCAGCCACTGGGTTGCTGAGGTCTTCCACGCACGACGGGACAGACGCCAGGAGGCCTGGAGAGAGAGAGGCGAGGGGGCGGTCAGGAAGTGATGGGTCCACATGGCACAGGGCCATGGGGCAGGAGGGGATGGGGCGGCGGCAGGGCCACGACACTGAGGTGTCATCTCTGCTTCTTGCCCCCAGGGAGCTGGGCAGGGTCCCCGGCTGCTCACAGAGGCCCCGGTAGCGGGAGAGCTGCTGGTAGATCTGCTTCATCCGCTCGATGTTGAGCCGGCTGCTCTCGGCGTGGTTGACTATGGGCCGAGGGTAGTCCACGCCAATGATGCACTTGGCTGCCTTCTGGACAGACTCAGGGGCGTTCCAGGGCTCGTAGATGTAGTGGGAGGGGAACCCTTTCAGCTTGGGCAAGTAGCGCCTGCAGCACACAGCCAGAACGACGCATCAGCACCACCGGGCTCCCGTCCACGGGCCCAAGCTCTCCTCCCTGGGCCAGTGGGGTCCTTGCCCTCCCTCACCTGATGGCTCTCCTCCCTGGGCCAGTGGGGTCCTCGCCCTCCCTCACCTGATGTAGTCTCCGCTGGGGTCCGTGCGGCGGCCGAAGCCCACGGGGCAGTAGCAGTGGAAAAACTGCTGGAAGAAGGCGCTACAGGACAGCCACATCCAGCTGCCCGCGTTCACGCTGAAGTCCGCGTCCAAGAGCAGCTCATCAAACACCTGCGGGAGGGGCCGATGGGGGGAGGGGTCAGCCTCCCTGGCAGGGTGGGGGAGCTGAGGAGGGCCTGGGGCCATGGACACTCACCCGGACCCCGCTCTCCCAGCTGACCCAGAGGTCCCCTCGGGTGAGGAAGCAGGCCACAGCATGCCGGGCCAGGTGGTGGATCCAGCCCTCCTGCCGCAGCTGGGTCATGATGGCGTCGATCCAGGGGAAGCCAGTCTTGCCCTCGGCCCACTTGGCCAGCGCCTCGGGGTTGCGATCCCAGGGGATCTGGATGCAGATGGGGTTACCCTCCATGCGGTCGAACCTGGGGTTAGTGGTGGCCGCCGTGTAGAAGAACTCTCGCCACAGGAGTTGCCCAAAGAGGGAGAGTGGAGGGGTGCTGTTCCGCTTCACCTGTGGGGGTGGGGGGTTCACGTAGATGCAGACACCTGCCCAGCTCTGGGACCCACCAAGGCAGGCTCTCCTCCCCTGGAAATGGCCACAGCACGGGAGGCGGCAGACTGGACCCTATGCAGTGCCCAGGCCTGGCTCTGCTGCTACTCAGAGCAGGGAGGAAGTGGAGTGGAGGGGTGGGGACCGAGACAGGCAGGCAGGGCCTACCTTAGGAACCAGGCGTTCACCCAGGACTGGCCCTGGCCCTGACCCTATCTGGCTCCACTGCTCAGAAAGTCAGGGGCGTTTCCCTATCGGCAACGTCACATAGGCTCAGTCTAGCTTTGGGTGAAGAGGTTAAACCTAACAGTCCAAATCTGAGGGGTGAGAGGGCCTTCACACTGTGTAAATTACAATTCCCCTAAAATCACCAGATAAGCCACCAAGTCCTGAAGCTAGTGTGTTCAGGAAACGCACTATGGACTGGGACGCAGGAGGACCTGCAGTGTGATGTGACCAGGCTGCCCCCTCCCCCGGGGATGGGTGAACACAGGGCCACCTGCCTCTTCAGCCTGCACGCTGCTCCCGACCTGTTCTCGGGCAGATCCCCTGGAGGGTGGGACGCTGTGGCCTCAGCCCCGGCCTCCCTGCCTCCACCCTAACTACCTGTGCCCATGTGCCTATGGCCCTCACCTTTTTGTACAGGTCCCACAGGCGGTAGTAGAAGAGGCGGCAGGAGAGGCAGCCGAAGCGCAGGTAGGGGCTGAGGCCCGTGGGGCTTGCCAGCAAGGAGTTGGCATTCATGCGCGGCCTCTCATAGCTGGCCACCCAGGCCTGCATCGGGAAGAGAAGAGAAGGAAAGGCCTGGAGACAGGCTGCAGGCTTCGGGGCGTGACTCCTAGCCAGGGCAGGCCCCAGCTCCCAGATGCGGCCAGGGTTTGTCTTCCAGGATCCCAAGTCCTCCTCTGTCCCCTCTACTGGCACTTCCTGCCCACACTCCTTCAGGAGCAGGGCCGAGGCCTGCCCTCCAGACAGGGTCCTAACCAGGTCAGACTCTCCACTCCTCCGGCTCCTCCCCAGCCCACCCCGCTCCTGGGTGAGGCTAGTCCTTTCCAATGGGCGTTTCTTATGCCAACTGCTCATACGCAGGTTCAAGGTTAAGCAGAAGAAAATGAGAACACATCCCAAGAGCCCAAGTGTGGTCTTGGGACTATCCCACCTGAAATTAGGGACCATCTCAAGAGAAGCTTTGATGCACTACTCTAATGATGGAAGGTCAGACAGGTTGTAGGATGATGTCAAAGACATTGTCTAGAAAGCAACCAAGAGGCCCATGAAAGCCAGAGGCTCTGGACCTCGCTCGGAACCGGCCAAACTGCAGCGAGGAGGGCATGGCGAAGCAAAGAGAGGTGGTTTCAAAGGCGGCTCAAGAGGACAGTCACCTCATGAGCGTGCAAAGCCCTGGACTTAGAAATCCAAAGAGAAATCCAACCCTCAGTTCACACAGTGAACGATGCGGGAGGCGTCAAAAGAAGACGGAAAGAATCCACACTCACGGCACCGACTAGAACTGGTCGCTGCCCAATCCCAGCACAGGGAGAACGCCGCGAGCTGCAGGAAGAAGCCCCTGGCAATAGACAAGGCCCTAGGAATGGATGGCCCACCAACAGGGGGCCTCCCCAAACAGACGCCCTGCTGGGAGCGCTCACTCAACCAGCCTAAGCCATCTGAAGACAGCTGTCTGACCAACTGACCGTTAGGGACCTGTCTGTGAATACAAGTGGACAACGTCATCAATATTCCATGCAAGTACAACTCTGCTGTAGAAAACACAAAACAGTTGTGACCCTCAGTCCACAGAGAACGGCATGCATTCAAGGGAGGTCAGAGGGGCTGTGGCGAGTCAGCTGGAGGTGGGCTCAGAGTGGGAACACTAGAGAGAGGTCAACTTGGGTTTCACTGACTTTGCAAAGGCCCTCAACTGTGTGGGTCATCAGCAAGTATGAGACCGTTACAAAGAAGGGGGATTTCAGAACACTTAACTGCTTAACTGGGCTCATGGTTAGACTGTACAGGGACAAGAGGCAGCTGTGCAAATAGAACAAGGGTGGTTTAAACTCAGGAAAGGGGTGCCTGACAGTTGTCCCCTTTGACCACCCTTGTCCAATGTGTATGCCGAGCAATGTGTATGGCACGGCAGCCGAACCCCATGAAGAAGAGCGCGTGCGCGTCAGGGTTGGGAGCAGGCTTGTTGGCAACTTACGACACGGAAACAGCACGACTTTGTGCTCCGAGAATGAAGCAGCTCAGGATGCTTCCTGATGAAAACCACTGACTTCAGCACAGACACACCTCCACACAAGAAAACAGAACTCACAACGAGGCCAGCCTTATGATACATGAGGGGAAGCCTGAAGCTGCAAGGATCTCATGTGACTGGAATCCAGTCAGTGCCTATGGAAGCAGCAGTCAAGGGAGCAGACAAGGCATGGCACTGGGCAAGTCTGCTGCCAACGACCGTCCAAAGTGTTAACCCGCAGAGATGTCACTGGGAGGCGAAGGCACCTGACCCAAGCCAGGGCGTTTTCCCTCACCTCCCCTACATGTGAAAGTAGGACAGGAACGAGGAAGCCCAGGGAAGAACCGGAGCCTGTGAGGAAGAGCATTAAGAACACAGCCTGACCATGCTGCCTTAGCAGAAGGCAACCAGAGTGACCCTGAGCAGGAAGATGGAGACTTGTCTCATGTGCTTGGGCACCAGTCCCTGCAGGATACAGAGGGTCGCAGTGGCTGTAGCACTGGGCTCAGACACAGCAGTGATGGGGGGGAGGGGGACGGGACTGAGCAGGGGTCACCAGGTGTCAGAACGCACTTAAATGTGCCCAGCAGAGTCATGGTTCCAGGCCACCAGCAGCTCCCAGGGAGAAAGGCTGGGCTTCCAGTCTCAGAAACCTACCGGGGGCCGCTAGAAGTCAGCCTGGACCCACGGCAAGGGGTCTGCTTGCATTGGGGGACAACAGCATGCTCATTCACACCCAGGTGATGGGGGGTGTGTGTCACAGGATGCTCTGTGAAACCTACCCTGCACTCAGAGGAATGACACATTCTCTACATTACATGGCTAGACGCTAGGAACAAGATTCCACACGGGAGATCAGAGGCAGCCACCGCCTTAAGTCTGAAAGGCCAGTCTGCCTGGCATGAGGGATTCTCATCTCCCTTTGTGCCGGGGACACGTTAACTGAAAGAAAAAGAAAGTCACTGCTTGTGGGTTGATTCTGACTTGCGGCAACCCTGTGTGTGCCCCACAGAGCTCTCTGGGAGGGGAGGGCCCTCCCTGGGAAGGAGAGCGCAAAGGCCCCGCACAGCAACTCCATGGCCACAGCGGAGCACGGCTGCTCCCATGCAGGAGCCTGTGGTGCAGCCCACCTGGTCGAGGGTCTTCCCCTCTTTCGCTCTCCCTCAGCTTTGCTCAGCATGGTGCCCCTCTCCAGGGCCTGGTTTCTCCTCACAACACATCCCAGAGGACGGACGGACCAGCCAAAACAACGTCAGCTGTAGGGGCAGGACCCGGAGCTGGCTCTCCACCAAGCCGAGAACCTTCCCTGCTCCCCAAGCCTGGAGGCGGTGGAATCTGGGAAGGGGGTGTGGGGCTTCTTCCACTCCTTCATGGGAGGGGGGCCATCTGCTCTGGAGGCGGCCCAGCAGAAGTTGGGGCCACATCTCTACATGACAGAGGAAGCAGCTGTGACCTGGGGGCCTGGCATGGGCTCAGGAAGCAGCAGCAGCTGGAGATGGAGGAAAAGTCTGGTACAAGCTTCTAGTTTAATGTCAGTGGCGAGCTCCTTCCTAGCACTGGGACCTCAGGCAAGTCACTCATCTCTGGAAGCCTAAGCTTCCCAATCTGTGAGCGGAGGCTGGAGAAGCCCTAGCAGGGCGGGCGGCCGGTCAAGGACAGGAGACAAGGCAGCAGGTGCCTGAGCTGGAAGCGTCCAGCCGATTTAGCCCGCAGTGGCCTGATAATTACGGTTGCAGGACACCAACGGCTGAGCATCCGACCCGACCCGACGTCCATGCTCCCTGGGCTGCAGAAGAAGGGGCGTACCTTCCGTTCCAAGTGCTTGTCCAGGCGGGCCAGCGCTTCTGTCTCCCCTCCTTGCCAAACAGCAGGGCCAAGGCCCTCAGTGGGGAACCCTGCGAAGGGAGAGGCTGGTCAGAGGCTACTGGGGAGGGCTCAGCTTGTCATCATGACTCAGTGATTAGTGCACATGGGGCCCTTGGGGCACCGGGGGCTGAGGTGACCTCTCAGCTGTTCCCACGGCCCTCCTTCCCCACCCCACTCCCTCACTACGGCAGCCCTGGAGAGCAGCCCTGGCTTGGGTCTTTTCAGGTGGCCTGACAATGACTGTGGTTTCAGGTGAGAAGGTCAACTTTGTCCCCCAAATTGTGGAGGAGGGTGGATTTAGGGGCAAGAGGGAGGGTGTGGTCATGGCCCAAGGGGATGACATCCCTTTGCACAGAATACGGCAAGTCAGGCTGGCTCGGGTGCCAGCACAGTCCAGAGGGGAGGCGTGCTGTAGAAACAAACAGGAAACCCCTTGCGGGTGGGAGTACCAGGGGCACAAGGCCCAACAATGACAGCAATGGGCTTCCACAGCTTTCTGGAACAGTGTGTATTACTGGGCAAGAAAGGAGGCCACGGGGAACCCTCACTGGGTAACTCAGCTGTCAGGAAGGAGGCCCGGGCGGGGAGCAACTGGATGGACCCTGGTGCCCGGCTGGAGGGGCACTCACCAAGCTCCTCCAGGGAAGGCACGCCGTAGGTCTCAGCATGGTTCTCCGGGATCTCGGCCTGGCAGCTCTCCATCTGCAGGCCGGTCGGCGCGCCCGCCGGCTTCCTGGGCAGCTCCATGCGGCTGATGATGGCCTGGAAGCGCTTGTAGGTCAGGGGCGGCTTCTGCCCATTCAGCTCGATGATCCTGGAGACCCCAGAGCAGACCCAAAGTCAAGCACAGGGCTCCCCAAGAGCCCAGACCTTTGAAAGCTTGGGTGGGGGATCTACTCTGCGGGGGGCCGAGGGGCGTAAGGGAAGCCACATCTCCATTTTACAGAGGGAGGGCTAAAGCAGGTGTTTCAGGATGGAGCAAGGCAGGGCTGAGCTGGGACTCCAGTCTGGGTCCCTCATGCCGCCTTGGCCACCTCTCGCTTATCAGATACCCTCCTGCTGGCCTTCCTGGTCCTTCACCTAGCTGCCCAAGGTGCAGGCCTTCCTTTCTACCTGAGCGGGAAACATGGCGGAAGTTTGCTGGGGAGAGCCACATAGTGTCCTGTCCTGACCCCCCATCAATTATAGCAGGGGGCTGAGAACAGCTTGCCCACTACCCCAAGTCAGCCCCCAGGGTAGCATGCTGGGGTGTGTTTATGAGCAGAGGAGGCAGCTACCCTGGTGCGAGGAGAGCCAGGCTGGCTGTTTATATCAGGCTGGACTGGGTCACTGAAGCCGGGCTCCTGGGTGAGCGTCTTCCTCCTTCCCCTCCTCTGGCATGGGGCAGGAGGAGCTCTGCTCACAGCTCATGTGCACAGCTGTGTGACCAGCCTGGCAGCCGCCTGCCCAAGCAGGGAAGAGAGGGGGCAGGGTGCCCTGGTGGCTGCTGGCTGGGCAGCAGAGGCAGTCGCTGGCAGGGGATGGTTGGAGGGTTGATTCCCAGCCTCTGAAAGCACGGAGGCCCTGGTGAGGCCCACTGCCAGGGGAGAAGGCTCCTGCACAGCCAGCTCCGGGCCCTGAGCCACATGGACAGGTCTGGCCTGCAAACCCAGATTGCAGGGGAGCAGGGGAGCCGGGCCTATCAGGACGGCAGGGCTCACGGCCAGGGTCCTGAGGCCAGCCTATGTCGCGTAGATGGACTGCAGCCACATTGGGGGCGGGGCGGGCAGGCCTTCAGATGACTCTTACTGCCTGCCTCCCTGGGGCCCAACACAGGCTGTTCACCTTCAGCTTCCGGAACACACCACGCCTCCTGTCCCAGGGGGTCCTACTGCTGACCCTCTCCGCAGTCCTGCTCAGCGGGGGCCCGAATCACCAACCCCAACTGCTGGGCGCCCTCACCTGTCCAGGTCATAGAGGGTATGAGAGTTCTCCGTCACCACCTCCACACCAGCCTCCTTGGCCAGCTTCATGATGGCTGCGTCTCGCTCTTTCCCAAAGGGTTCGGAGTCATATTCAAAGGTCAGGCGGGTCACTCCCCATTCCTGTGGGGAGACAACCGGTTACGGAGGGAAGGGGAAGGCTGGACACGCGCTCCTTCCTGGGAGCGGGGGCAAAGAGCAGGAGGCTTGGCGACATGGACTGCAGAATGAGAGTGACCCTAGGTCCACCCAGTTTGAAGGATTGGAGGAGGCTGGCAGAGGCACTGACGTTACTGGGGAGGCAGTGGGGTGTGTGTGTGGTGGTGGGGGATCGCCATGCCCACCCGCCTGGCAAGGCTCTCCCAGTGCTCCTCACAGCCAGCAGGCGTGGAGCTGGCTTTCCTGGTAGCCTGGCAGGATGCCCTGGCAGTCTCCACAGCAACAGTCCCACGGCCAGTGGTAACCAGAGCGAATGGGCCCCAGGGCTGGGCGAGTCAGATGGGGTGGGGGTGGGGTTTCTTTCCTAAAGCCCTGCATCGTTTGGGGTGGCTTCTCTAGATCCAGCAATGGTGAACGCTAGCTGGCCTGGAGAAAGAATGGCCCAGAGGCCCACCAAGAGCCCCCGGAACACCGAGCCAGCAAGAGTCAAGCACCTTCCAGCTAAAGTCTCTGGTCCTCAGAGCTAGGAAGCCCCGGGCAAAGGTCTCAGTCTGCAAGGGTTTGGGGCGCACTGGGCTCCCCAAGATCTGTGCCAACAGACAGCCAGAGCTGTCACCATGGCATCAACTGCAAGGCCCCATGGGCCCGAGCAGCGCCGCCCTGGCATTCCCAAGGTGCCACCTTTCTGGACGCAGGCAGATGGCAACATCTTTCTTCCTGTGACGGCTGCTAGGCCAGAACCGAGCCCGAAAAGCACGGTGCCACCAGGGCTCGTCAGGATGGCAGCAGAGATCATGAACTGCATCTATGCTCTGAGCCAGGTGCACGTAGGTCCTGTCGTGAAATACTCACCATCACTCTGAATAATTTTAACAGGTGATCGTGCGGTGACACCTTCTGCAAGAAGCCAGCCCCCCTTGATCAGCCTGAATCTGCCATTTTTCTGCCACAGCATTTATCACCGGGCCACCAAGATGCCGTTACTGACCCGGCTGGGGGCCAACAGGAGCAGCTTGACAGAGCACAGGGAAGCAGCATCGGTGTGGCGTGGTGGCCAAGGGACACACTCACACAGCTGGCGTCCGACAACTGGGTGCCAATCCTAGACCGGCACGTAGCGTTTGCGGCTGGAGGAGTCCCACCTTTTAGAGCTGCTGTGGGCCCAGGGGGGTGAACGTATGCAACGCCCTCCAGCGATGTGAGCACTTACGTATCCATTTATGGGTGGGAGCAGGGAGTGGGGTGAACGGTGCAGCGTTTCATAAGCCGCTGCCTGCCCTCGACTCTGCTTTTGCCCGCCTTCTCCCCAGGGAGAGCAGGGGGGAGTGGGTGCTAGGCTGGACAGGGGTTTAGAGGCAACCGTGTGCTGTGGACGATGACAGAGGCCCAGCCCTGGTGAATAGGCTCTCAGCTCTGTGTGGACAGAGGGAGAAGTGCAGCAGCAACAGACTCACTCTCCACCGTCCAGCCTCTGCTCACCCCCAGCAGCCCTTCGGGACTGGGCAGAGCTGCCCTGGGGGTTTCCGAGACTGGCGCTCTTTACCGGAGGGGAAAGCCTCAGCGTCCCCCTGAGGAGCGGCTGCTGGTTTCGAGCTGCTGACCTGTTAGCAGCCCACCCACACCCCCAGGGCTTCGCAGCAAACAGAGGGCTCCTCAGTCGCTGACCCTCTGTGAAGCAGGGCAGCTCTTCACAAAGGCTGAATTTAAGAAAGCAAACAACCTCCCAATAAGCGAGAGGGGACCCTCTCTTTGCTGAAGAGGAAACCCCGCCCTCAAGCTCTGGCGCAGAAGGAGCCCGACTGCATCAGGGCTTGAGCCAAGCATGCTCAGAGGGAGCCGGCGGTCCGAGGGGCCACACCTATCTGGCCCCAGAAGGCAGCTTCCAACCCCACCCTGGCTTTGCAGAAATGCCTCTTTGACACAGCTTTCATGCCGGCATCTATCTGACTGACGATCTTTGCTCCTGAAGCAGCAGTGAAGCATTTCCACCTCTGCAGGCCAGATACCACGTCCCTGGTTTGTGGGGACCCCTGGGAAGCAGGCACTGCCCACCGTCTCCCCTCGGCCACACCACTCACCTTGAACAGCCGTGGGAACACGTCAGCTGGCTGGCCACGGACCACAAACAGACGAGAGTGTAGTGTCCTTAAACGTGCGTCCAGATCTGCCAGGGACTGGAGTAGAAACCTGCAGAGCCCACACAAGCCTGGTTAGTGGGGACACAGCCAGGGGCAGCTCCCCTTCCTGATGCGGCAGGGGACGTGAGGCCCGGGGAACTGGGGTGGAGCCCAGGAAAGAGATGCAGGGCACCAGCTGCTAACCCCCTTTAAGTCCTGTCTTTGCCTCCCATGAGCCTGTGGCCCAAGGCATTGACTTCACCCAGTGAGCTGCTTTTCTCACCTGCTAGTGCCAGTGTGAGAACCTGTGGCACAGAACAAGTCAGGCAGAAGACGTAACCTTGCGGTTTCTACATGATCCCCAAACCCAGCCCCACCCTCTGCCTTCTGTGCCTTCTGACTCCTAGACCTAACAGGGCTGCCCAAGTGGGGTTCTGGGACAGTTCACACCCTATGGGCACAGACAGCCTCATTGTTCTCCTGTAGAGTGGCTGGTGGATTCAACCTGCCCCATCCACCATGACCCCACGTTGCAGCTCCACCCCAGCCGCAGGCCCTGTATCTGCCCCTGCTAGGCTGTTGCGGGACGGTCTGAAAAAGCTAGCTGGTAAGCAAGGGCCCCAGGTGGCAGAGAAGCAGGAAGGTACAGTTAGCAGGGGGACAGGACTGCAGTAAGTCATCTCCCGGGCATCGGGTCGCTGTGATTCCAGTGACCCTGCAGGATGGAGCAGCACGGCCCTGCGGGCCGAGGCTGACTCTCCATGGGAAGAAAAAGCCCCGTCTTTCTGCAGAGGAGCGGCCAGGGGTTTCCAACAGCTGCCCGTGCAGTTCGCAGCCCATGGCAGGGCCACCACCCACAAGGATGGCGCTAGCCTGGGAAAGTCCCACCTGCCTGGGGTGACAGACTGCAGGGTCTCTGGGCTGCGGGGACCACTGCCACCACCCAGGCTGGGCCACCAGTGGTTCCCCAGCACCAGCACTTGTCTGGTAGGGAGGGGGCTCATTCTCTACCCCACCCTCCATGCTGGGCTCTGGCCACCAGCCCCTCCCACCGTGTCCCCCACCCCCCCAGAGGGCCCAGGTCTAGAAGAGTCCTCTTGATGGGACACTTGCACGTGGGTGAGCGGAGGCTCAAGGCCATGGAGCCAGCCAGGACGGAGAACACCTTGAAGCATGGGGGGAGGGGGGGGGCGGGGATGCTGAGCAGCTTCAGCGGTTCAGCTTCATTTTCAAGCTCAATGACATGTGGGCGGGGCCACGCTGAGTTGGGGCTGCCACTACACAGCTCCTGCCAGCAACATTTTAAGCAAGTAACTGTTTGTCTGCTTAGAACGTGAAGTCAGGAAACGGCACAAAGAAGTCTTCCCGCCCACCCTGCCCTGCTTCCCCCGGAGCCCCAATCTCCAATGCCCACTCGTACTCAGGGGCATTGGCTTGCTGAATCCTCTTGGGAAAGGTCCTTATCCTTGTTTTACAGAGGAGGGACCCGAGGCGGATTCCTTGGCCTGGGATCCCAGCTAGGAAGGGCTGGAGTGTGGGCAGAAAGCTTACTTGGCCGTGCTCCCCTTCTCTGGGTACATTCCCGCAGCCTCGGGGGCATGCCAGTCCGCAGTGGCCGGGGGTCTGGAGGGACCCCCGTGCACCTGCATGCCCCTCAGGCAAACAAACGCAGGCCTGAGGGCCAGTGACCCGAGGCCTCTTCCCTTCACCGGCTGCTGGGCCTGCATTTCCACGGTGCTCCTTCCTGCCAGTGGTGGGACTGGCCGGCTTCTTCTGAGGCTGGCCTCCTGGGCAGGACACTGCATTCCTACATGTAGAGGTGGCCACAATGAACCACCTCCCCCGCTGCCAGCTGACATAGACAACCTGCCACACAGACCCACCCCCGCCCTGGGTTGGGCGGGCGCTCCCGGGGTGGTGACCTGAGGCTCTGCCAGGTCTAATGCTGCTTTATAGGAACCCACAGCCCTGCCCCCACGGAGGGTGGTTTGTGACACACTGGCCACCTCAAGAACGAGGAGACAGCTGGCAGGGTTGGGTTGGTATCTCTGGGGCCTCCGCCCCTCTCAGGAGGAACAGAGGAGATGCATGGCGCCCGAGCCCTGCAGACAAGGGCAGCGGTTCAGATTCCACGGCGCCAAGAACGGGGCTCCAGCTGCCCTTGCCATGCCCAGGGGAGGGGGTCTCTTTCCTCACAGCCCACGTGTCTGGGCTGGGGCCAGTCTGAAGCTGTCAATAGGTTGGAAATGCCCATGGCCTGTGGACGCTAGAGCCTGGGGCAAGCTGCTGTGGGGCACTGTGTCCCTGGCCCTCAGTCACTGGGACGGGGGATTCTTGCAGCTCCTTTGACTTATTCTTTTCCACAGGGACCCCCTTCTTTGACCAGACGGGGACAGCTGAGGCAGCAAGCACGAGGTCCGGCTCTCAGTGGTGAGGATGACAGCGACAGCGTTTAAGGAGACTGACAGGAGCTGTTCTACTTGTTTGACCCACTTTATCACACTGAATTCCCGCAGAGGCCGGTGAGAGCGGTACTACGCTTCCCACTTTACAGATAGGGAAACTGAGGCACGGAGCCACAACTGTTCCCCTGCTGCCACCATGGGCAGACTCCTTCGGGCACCTTGTAGGGGGTCAGAAGTCAAATCCAGTGAGGCAGTCTGGCTCAGAGCCTGGGTTCTGAACTGTTGGGCCCCACTGCTTCTCAAGTATGGCTGAGCCACCAGTGCAAGTGTCCCAGCCAGCTCAGGTGCCAACACCCTGGCCGCCAGGTCCTTGCTACATGTGTGTGGTCTGCGCGTCTGCGGACTCAGAGATGCAGGCTCTGAGGCTCCCTGCCAGCCCTCCGGTGTCCCAGCCAGAGTGGAAACATGATCCCGGGTGATATGTGTGCGCAGGGAAGTTTCTGAAGCAGCGCTCAAGAACTTCACTCCTGGCTCCTGCTTACAGGTTGTCACTCTTTGCCTTCTGTCCTGGGGTCTGTCTCCTCTAGGCCTGCTAGAAATTCCTCCTTCTTTCTGCAGGCCAGTCCTGCAGGGTTCCTCCAGGAACCAGGGGCTCAGGCTGGCCCCCACAGGTGACAGCAGGAGATGTGAGAGGGGTCCCAGGCACCCTAGCCTTCAGGCAGCTAGAGGAAGAGAAGCTGCTTTGAGGCCTGCCTGGGGACAGCTTTGTCTATCAGCAAAGGCATCTGGGGCACAGCCACAGTGCGCCAGGGCAGTATAGGACACTGGGGTAGTGTCAGCAAGGCACCTGCCACTCCCTCGGCCAGTGTCTGTTTCCTGCAAGGAAGGGAACTCTAAAGAGAATGGGCCCGGGCCTGGGCCCAGGCCAGGGGTGGGTGGGAGTGGGCTGGGTTTACAGCTGGGATTGGGGCTGAAGCTTGGCCCTGCAAGGGTTGGGGCTGGCTCCCTGCCACCTCCATGGCTGCTCCAAGCAGAGCTCACATGGCCCAAATTCAGAGCACACAGTCCTGGGTAGACAGACAACCCCCCTACTTGGGTTAGAAGACACGTACAACAGAATTGCACGTGGGCCACATCTACCCAGCGGCTCTGTGGGAGAAAGACCTAGCTCCTGCCTCTGAAGATTAAAGAGAAACAACAAGCCCAAGCCCAAGGCCACCGAGGTGATTCAGACGCACAGCAGTCCTACATGGGCTTTCGGAGGCCGCAAACCTTTATGGGAGCAGAGAGCCTCACCTTTGTCCATCAGAGTGGCTAGGGAGTGTGACCCCTGACCTTGCAGTTAGCAGTCTAACACGTAGCAGACCGCACCCCCGGGGACTCCTCTCTGCACACAGGTTACAGCCCACAGGGCTGTTCCACCCCGGTCACACGGGGCTGTTATGAGTGGCACGTAGCACCACCACCAGCACCAGGCCCAGAAGAAAAGGAGAAGCAAGCCCTCCACGGCAGGCAACCTTCTGGTAGAAATCCGTGTGCCCGTTCCCACCCACAGAGAGAAGGAGCAAGAGTTGCATCCCTGTGGGGCCAACAAACCTCTCCTCAGAGGCCAGTGCCTTGCTTGGGGGGCACTGTGTGACTGGCCCGGAGCAGCTTCCATGTACCACCAGGAGGCTAACATCCTCAGGCCCTGCTCACTGACCAAGTTCCAAGGAGCATCCCTCCCCCCAAGCCCCCCCAGGAGTGCACCAGTGTTTGGTAGCCAGCACCGGGGCCCACTAGGCGTCCTGGGGAGGCCCCATGTCACTCCAATGACGAGTGCTGAGCGGAGCGAGCACCCGTTAGTGAACCTCCCTCACGCAGGTGCAGCCCAGGGCCAGGGCAGAAGGACCTGAGTGGAGTGAGAGTGTTGCAGCCGGCACCTACCCAAGTTGAACAGAGTAAGAGGGGTGATGAAGGAACGGCAAGGTCTATGGCCAGCATCAGTTTTAAATCCAGAGGCTGCTCACAGCTTCCTGTTTGGGGGAGTCCTGCTAGTTGCAGCAAGTTTGGGAAAGGTATCGGGGTGAACGGCAAACCGATGCTTTAAAAAGAAAAACGAAAACGGTCCTGAGGCTCATATCTTGGTAGTGAGCCCATCAATGTCCTGCTGCCGCTCCAGGGGGGCAGTATGGGTCAGCAGAGAGTTCTTCTCTCCCGTGCGGCCAACTGGGGTCCAGGGCCAGCCCATGCCTGTCAGGTCCAAACACCACCTGTCTGCAGGGAAGACTTGTGCCCTTCCAGACTAAGGCAGACTAGGAAGGCCCGGTGACCAACTTTCAACGACCAGTCAGTGAAAAGCCCATGGATCGGAAGAGCTCGATCCCACTATGCACGGGGTCACCAGAGCAGATACATATGTCTTGCCTTTCGCTGTCTTCTTTTACTCGTAGAAAGTGCTATTCTTGGCTATTTCACCCGGCTTCCTCTGCTGAAAACCGGTGGGTGGGAGTCAGTACGGGAGGGTGCAAGCAATCACAGACTTGGCCTCCACTCCGGTTTGCAGATGGCTCTGGGCCCACCCTCGAGGGAGGTTCCCTGGAGACAGCAGCTGCGGAGCTCAGATGGATGCTGCCGCAGGAAAGCTCACAGATCCAAAAAACAGCCCCGGAAGATTACACGGATGACTGTGGAGATGCAGAGGGATGGCTCCGCCGTTCCCCCCTCCCTTCCGGCCCCCTGCCCACTCAGCTCTGTTGGCCCCTCTGTCTGTCCCTCTCACAGAGGACAGACAGAGGGCAGGAGTGTCTGTCCCATGCCTGCCTGGAGAAGCTGTCATATTCGATCTGTTCTGTGATCTCACCCAAACCCAGTCAGACTTCCTGCCAGCACACCGCTCTCTGGGGCCCTTTCTGCCGCTCTGCCGCACAGCAGCGCTTTTAAATGACCAACAAACGCAAAACCCAGCAACACCCAAGACGACCAGATGGAGGGCAGGGGAGGCAGGCAGCAGAATGCCTCAGGAGATGCCCACGTGCAGCCAAGATGGAGACGCAGGGCTCTGGCGCCATTCTTCCGACCAGGCTGGCTTACTGGTCCCCTCCACACAGTGGCACTCCAGGGGCCCCCTGCCTTGACCCCTTCACAGGGGCACCCTGACAGTCCCTCCCTCGTGCAGTGCCTGGCGGACATGACCCCACGGTCACTGGGCCTGAGGTCCAGCTCACAACAACCCTATATAGGATTTCTAAGACTACATTTTCATGGGAGCAGACAGCCTCATCTTTCTCCTGAGGCAAGGCTGGTGGGTCTGAACTACCAACTGGGCGGTGAACAGCTTGCCACCTGACCCTGGGACCCACAGTCACTGAAGAATTGCTCTATTCCCGTCTGGAGTCCTGCTCCACCTCAGCCTCCAGGATCTGACTGGGGCATCTGATCGGCCGCATTCCCCCTCCTTCACGCCCTTGGCAGCTCAATCACAAAAGGGTGGCCTGCAGCCATCCGTCAACAGGGAGGCTCCAGAACAACTGAGTTCAACCAGCAGTGGAATATCTGCTGTTCATGCCCACCCGCTCCTCCCAGCAGAGAGAAGTGGGCCATCCTAGCCCTCTCCTTCCACAGGGATTGGTAATACCCCACGCCCGCCCCCAGGACAATGAAACTAGACAGAGAGCACTTGCTCCACTCTGTGATTGGCACAGTGCAGCAGGAGAGGACCAAGTCCAAGGCTTAGCTTAATGCCCATGCCAGCGGTGGGCATTGGAGGGGGGTTGCCAAACTCAACCTCCCATCTACAGAAACGGGGGCAGAGGAGAGCAACGTGGCCAACTAGAAGCAGTGTGGGCAGGCTGGCTCCAGCACTATCTTCAGCACACCACCCCGTCTACATATACGGGGCAGGAGGGGGCACTGGATGGTCCCACTTTAAGGGCACTTCCTCGTCTAGCAGGGCACAGACCCTGGAACACAAAGCCTGGTGTGCAAGCGTTGCTGCATCCTAAGAAAAGCCCAGCCCACAGCTGCAGCACTCCACAAGCGGGCACACCCCCCCCCCCCCCCCCCCCCCCCCCCACACACACACACACACACACACACACACACACACACACTCCCCCCCCCCCTCTCCGGGACAACGCAAACAACCTAAGCCAGGGCTTGAAAGGGAGCTGGGGCCTAACTGTTTTCCAAGGGCCTGGGTTCTGAACCACCCTACCTCCAGGTCCCAGTCGTTCACCACCCAAGAGAGGCCCTTGATATCAACGCCGGCTTCTTTAACGGCTCGGCTTCCTTTAAAAATCTACTCACCTCCGTGGAGGAAATGGGGTGGGTCAGGAGGGCACACAGCCTTCTCTGAGGGAACCCTGGTTGTGTAGTGGCGGAGTTAGGCTGCTCACCACAAGGTCAGCAGTTCGAAACCACCAGCCCCTCCAGGACGTTTTCTATGCTTGCAGAGTTAAAAACTCTCAGAACCCCCCAGAGGCAGTTCCATCTTGTCCTATAGGGTGGCTATCAGTCGGCATGGCCCCGAGAGCCTTATCTGAGGCTAGGTCAGGGTCTCCACACATCTCCAGGGGCTGAGTAGTGTGTGGAGGGGACCTCCAGGAGCCTGGCAGGGGGCCCTTCGTTTGACTTGGGTCAAGCATCTACTTAGCCAGAGGCAGGCACCCACGACCCCGGTCCTTTTCCAATCCTTCCGGGGCACACCCCTATGAGTCCCGGGGCCTGCGTCCCTGGGCTCACGTGTGTCATCGGTCCAAGGGGGCTCTGATCTCTGCCACAGGGTGGTGTGAGGCCACAAGAGCATGCGACACAGTGGCAAAGTCCCTTCTCCGCGGTGCCGCCTAGGGCACTGCAGGATGACTAATGGCTCCCTGGCCCCCGGATTCTCGCCTCTGGACACCCCGTGCCGTACCCCTGCTAGCTCCCTCAGGCCCGAATCTTGCGGCCGTGGATGGGAGCAGAGCCGCCCGCTCGGGCCCCGGGAACCCCTCACCTCCAGCGGTTGATCCCGACTGAGGAGGAGGCCGCGAACCAAGGGTCCAGGATGTAAACGCAGCGCACGCAGCGCGCCCCGCGCACGGCTGCCAGCAGCGCCGGGTTGTCGTGAAGTCGCAGCCCCTTGCGGAACCAGTGCACAGAGGACGCGCCGTCCTTGTTCGGGGCCGGCGCCGTGGCCGCCAAGGCCGCTGTGCCCACTGCCGCCGCCATCACAGCGCAGACTGCTTGGAGCCGCGCCTCTCCGCTCCGCCCCGGGTAGTTCCGCAGGCCCCACCTCCAGCCCGCCCAGTGACCTATGATGACGCCGCTTGTCGCTGTGGCCCCGCCCCTAGGGCCCGGGATAGCGTCTACCATTGGCTGAACGCCTCCCGCCTTGCGATTGGCTCAGCGGCGCTGGCTCAGGCTCCGCCCCGTCACGTTCCCACCATGTGCAAGCCGCCCGGGAGAGAGTCCGTGGGCAGCGCTGGTGACGCAGACGAGCGCTCCCAGGAGTGGTCCGGGCGTGGGCCGGGACTCAGGGGACAGCTGATCTCTTAGCTGCGTCTTGGTCAGAGCCTGTCGCTAGCAGATGCGACGCCAGCCAGTGATTTACAGGGTTAACAAACGCAGTCTTACCAGCCCATGTGTCTATGTCATTAAATCATGACATCAACTAAAGCTGCAAAGTCAGAAGGGCATCTTCTATGGCGAACAACGAGAATCTTACATAGACGCTGTACTTTACTACTTTCAACTCAGCCCAGTTCCATTCATCCAACAAACCCTAGTGATGGAGAGTCCTGGTGGGTGACACGTTGGGCTGCTAACCTCAGGGTCAGCAGTTCAAAGCCACCAGCTGCTCACTGGGAGAGGATAAGGCTTTCTGCTCCCATAAAGATTTATAGTCTTGACAACTCAAAGGGACAATTCTAGTGGCTCTGAGTCAGGGTAGACGCGACAGTGTTTGGTCTGTTTTTTTATTTTAATAAAGTTTGATGGGGACATAACCCAAATATCGTACAATTCGATCATATCAAGAAGCGTTGTACAATCATTACCACAATCAATATTAGAACGGTTTTTAAAATCTTGTACACCTTGTTATTAGCTCCCTAGCCAGTTTGGTTCGGTATTTGCACAAAGGAGCTTTAATTATTCTCATTTTATAGGTGAGGAAGGTGGAGGTTGCCCAAGCTTGAGTGACTTGCTCAAGATCAGAAAGCTCATTAAAGAACTCTTCTGATCTGGAAACCTCTGCTTTGACCCACAAATCCGTACTGAGCTCTTTGGCATTTATAAGACACAGTTGGGGTGCGGGGAGGGGTGGGGGTGGGCGTCCCACAGCCTTGAGCTTGGGGGAGGGGCCTGGGAAAGTGGAGAGGGTGTGGGTCGTGTAAGGTTGATTTGGCAGCGGAAAGAAAGAAAGACGTCAACGATAGACCACAGTGTTAAAGGTTTATTTCCGAGCTCCCTGGGCGAGGTTCACGGGTCCCTGAACTGGGGCCAGAGAAATCGAGCTGCCGAGGAGGGAAAGGAAGGGTTGTATAGCACTGGTCTGGGTAGGGGCAGTTTGGGGAATTTTCCATTGCGATTTGGCTGTTCTGCAAGGTGGGCAGTCAGAACTCAGTAACAAAGAAACAATGCTATCAGAGCTGCAGGGCTTCAAAGGCCATCATCAGTTGCTGCGCACCGTTGCGCACTGTTGTCGGTATGGCTCCACTTGCCCGCCCCACCAGTTCCCGTTTCTGCCTAACAGGCTGCGATAGTAATTATGCCAGCCGATGAACTGATTTTTCTCTTCGTTCTATATTTAGTGCAGTTAAATGCACTAAATGTACTTCTGCATCTCAAGCCTTGTTCTGGATTCGGCGTGGGATTCGAGAGTCATGGAGGATGCTGTTTCCCCACCTCCTCACCTCCTCTGGGAAGCCAGGTGGGTTCCCTCACTCTGGCTTGCTGACTGCATGGTGAGGGACGAATACAAGATGCGCAAACACTGACGACGGAGTCAAGTCGCCTAGACAGGCTGGGGCTCTGGGGCCACCTGGTGAGGAACAGTTTGTCTCAATCTCACCCCATACTCTCCACCCTTCTGGAACTTGGGCGTGGGCCATGAAGCTCAAGTGGTTCAGCCCAAACCCCTCTCCCCACCCCATCTCCTCTCTAACTCCAGGGGACCTGCACCATTGTTCAGTGCAGCTGTCGCCGCCATGGCTGTCTGGTGCCAGCCTGCACACTTCCCCATTCCATCCCGTCCTTTTTATTGATCACTGCTTCGGATATCTGGTGCTGGAATTTCTGGCTTCAGTGTCTGCCCCAATAGCCTATACGCTCCTGGAAGACAGGGGTGGTGGCTTATTTATAACGGTATTTCCAGGTTTAGCTCAGTGCTCCGCATTTAATGCTCAAGGATTATCTGAGTAAAAGTTGAACAGAAACTGGAGTCTTGGGTTGCAGGGAGTTTTTATTTTCCTTTATAGCATTTTATTAGTAACAGCACCCAAAGACGTTTGGAAACCAGTGTGACACACGAGCCCAAGGCAGTTGATGGACAGCCACTGATAGCCAGACATCTGAACGGTCATTCCAGCCCCCTCACTTGACCCTGCCCTTATTCTTTAATACCCCCTCCAAATGTTTGCTTAAAAATATAGATGTCACCTATCATTAGTTTTCTTTTTACTTAAAAAAAATCATTTTATTGGGGGCTCATACAACTCTTATCACAATCCATACATACATCAATTGTATAAAGCACATTTGTACATTCATTACCCTCATCATTTGTAAAACATTTGCTCTCCATGTAAGCCCCTGGCATCAACTCCTCATTTTCCCCTTCCCTCCCCGCTCCTCCCTCCCTCATGGACCCTTGATCATTTATAAATTATTATTTTGTCATCTCCCTTCCTGTTTGTCATCTCCCTTCACCCACTTTTCTGTTGTCCGTCCCCCAGGGAGGAGGTTATATGTAGATCTTTGTCATCGGTTCCCCCTCTCTACCCCACCCTCCCTCCACCCTCTGGTATCGCCACTCTCACCACTGGTCCTGAAGGGATCATCCATCCTGGATTCCCAGTGTTTCCAGTTCCTATCTGTACTAGTGTACATCCTCCGGTCTAGCCGGATTTGTAAGGTAGAATTGGGATCATGATGGAGGGGGGACGGAGGAAGCATTTAGGAACTGGAGGAAAGTTGTACGTTTCATCGTTGCTACCCTGACTGGTCTCCTCATTCGTTTGCTTTGAGACTTCATCCTTCCGCTTCTTCTGTCCCCTTCTCTCCACCAGGTTGATGCTCTGCTAGGAACAGGACAGGGCGCGTGCCCCTCAAATATGAGTATCTTTTCCTTCTCTGAGGACCCAGAATGCCGTCTCTATCGATTTTGAACTCCAGGAGGGCAAGGACTGTGTGTCACCAGCCACTTGGCGGAAGAAAGATGGAACTTTCTCATCCTGCAAAGAGTTACAGGCTCCGAACGTGCATGGACTGTTCTATTCTGTGCTAGAGGGTGCTGGGAGTCGGTATCGACCTCGTGGAGGTGAGTTTGGGTTGGCTTGTTTTGGAGCCGCTGTGTACCTAGTTGATGATTGGCTGTAAGGTAACCAGGCGCGGGTGGGTGGGGCGTCCTGGGCGAGTTGCAGTCACCCGCGCCCACGTGGTGAGCCGGAACGCAGCCTTGGGCGGCTCAGATTGCAGCTCAGTCCGGAGCCCCAGCTCCTAGGCTCGTGCCCTTCACGGCTGTAGGCAGCCTGCTGCTGCGGCATTCCTGCGTTCAAGACGTCCTTCGCACAAGGCTTATGTGGCTGCAGTGACATGAAAGGCTCATTGTTTGAACTCTTCAGGTTGAGAGGCAGGAAAGGACGGTGAACCCAGTTTGTCTAGATTCCACCCTAACTAGCAAATTACTTACAGGGGCGTGTGACTTTACAGGGACAAGTGACTGCCTCTGTGCCTCCACCTCCTCTCTCTGGTGAAATGTGGGCTGTTATTTCATTCTTGTAATCATGTCTTTGGGTGATTCAAAGTTCTTCATGTAGTGCAATCGATTCATTGCCTCCCCTTTATGGTTCCTCCTTTGTATAAGAAACCTTTGCCCAACCCCAAGGTCATAAAGATGTTCTATATAACCTTCTTAAAACGCTATTGTTAGCCCTTCCGAACAAAGTATAAAATCGACACATGGCCAAGACTTCATTACCTGAAGTTGGATGGGTGAGGCCTGGCTTCCTCTGTTTCCTGGACAACTCTACTCCCAGAAGCCGTAGACCCAGAGGGCAGGGGAGAGGAGAGGAAAGAAAGAAGAGGTGACGAGACCCTCAAGTCTCTGGGCCAAGCAACTGAACCAAGCCCCAGAACTTCCAGTGGGCATTCTCAAATAACAGTTCCCAACCCCCTGATGGGCCTTGGTGGCGTCATGTTAACTACAACGTCAGTAGTTCAAAACCACCGTGGCTCCCCAGGAGAATGAGGAGGCTTTCTACGTCCAGAAAGAGTTAATAGCTGCAGAAACCCACAGGGGCAGTTCCCTTATGAACTGAAATGGACTCATGTGCAGTGACAGTGTGTGAGTCACTTCTGCCTCCTTGTTGTGGTTGTGTGTGCCCTCGGGTCGGCTCTGACCCATAGCGACCCTGTGCACGACAGAACAGGTATTGTCCACTCCCGTGCCATCCTCACAACGTCCCATGCTTGCGCCCATCACTGAAGCACCGTGTCAATCCACTCACTCATGCCCCTCTACCATGCACAGTGTTCTTCTCCAGGGACTTGTCTCCCCATCTAACGGGGCGGGGCTCAGTTCTCCTCATCTGGCAAATAGGGAAGAAAAACTACCTCAGGCTTCGGTGAAGCGTTGAAGATTGGAGACTAATTCCATGTGTGCTGGCTCTTGACACCAGCTTTTAAATGAGAACCACTTCTGTGGCAGTTACATCATCTCTTGTCAACTTGCGAAGGGGTGGAATCTAGCCTGTCAATCAGGTCATAGCCAATGAGGCCTCTGTGTGGGCGTGGCCTTCTCCTGAGGATGCTGGGAACTTCCGTCTTCCTCCCTGGAGGCGGGACACACTCTGCTTCCTCTTCCTGCTGACAACACACATGGAGCTATGCTGTGAGCCAGAGCCTTGGAGCAGGAGGAGCCACGCAGAGACCCACAACAGCGCTGAGATGCTTCCACGGCTACTGGATCCACAAGACTTTCCACCCACTGGCCTGTGATCTTCCTGCAT